CAGCCAACACAGATATCCATGAGGATCTGTTTATTAGTTTAAGCTTCTGAGTTTTAGTGTTTCATTGTACAGTATTTCTAAGGCAACTGCTAAAAATTCAGCCARCAAGGGGATAAAAACCAGGATTTAAAACCTAGACCTGGCCAGGAACAGTAGCGTACATCTGTAATCCCAGGGGTTCAGGGGGCTGAGGCAGGAGGATTGCTGAGTTCAAAGCCAGCCCCAGCAAAAGCAAGGAGCTAAGCAACTCTGTGAGACCCTGTCTCTAAATAAAATACAAAACAGGGCTGGCCATGTGGCTCAGCAGTTAAGTGCCCCTGAGTTCAATCCCCAGTACACCACCACCACCCGCCAAAAATAAATAAATAAATAAATATATAAATATATATATATATATATATATATATATATATATATAAAATTATTAGGCCTGTCTTGACTCAAACGCCAACTACCATCTTGAGATTTTTAAATCAAAATATTCTCACACCCAGATTGTGTTTGGTACACAGAAAAATGCAACAAAAATCTGCTTTATTAGTTTATTAATGTAAACTTTGAAAAACTTTTTAATGCATTTTCAATAAGACTGCTCATATGAACTTCTCATTCCCACATCATTAAGACAAGGGCTAAAAAACATTATGATTGGGCATGATACAGCACTAYACCATTTTTCAGGTTCTGAATCTAAGGCTTCCTTCTTTTATCTGTCCCAGAGCTCTACACAAACAAGTACAAAATACTCCGGGCTGGAGATACAGCTTGACAATAGTAGTTCTTGCCTAGCATGAGGCGCCTTACATTTAATACTCAGCCACACACAAAAAACATTTTTATGTTTTATAGAAAACAAAATACTGCCTTCGACTTAATGTTGACTTCTATAGTAGCCAAATGCAAATGACAAAAATATTAAAATATTTTTTCATATTTAAAAGAATAAGCTTCAAACAAGTGTGCACAATGAATATTCCCTGTGCATCTAACATTTATAAGACACTGTTCTAAGCACTGAGAATATAACCCTGAAAAAGAAAACTTACAAAAATTCCCTGCCCTCATGGATCTTCCATGCTTGTTAACAACATTTACAGAGCATCAAGGTATTTTCCAAGTGCTTTACATGTTTTAAACCATTTAGTCTTCATAATCCTGTGAGAAACTTAGTATCTCCATTATGAGGTGAGGAAACTTGTAGAACTAGTTACAAAACAAACAGAAGAGCTAGCCAGAGTCTGGGTCTGAGTTCATACTTCTGGACATTATGGTACCCTGCCCCTCTAAAGCTTTAATAATAAAAACATTTTATCCCAACAGGATGAACTCATTCTCACAACTCAAGATTTTATACAGACAGGGGAAGAAAAGAAGCATACAAAAATGATCTCTAGGATGTATTAAGTGAAGACTAAGAATGCATGTTCTTTTAATGTGGCCAAAATTTAATGCATAATTCTGAAATAAATTTTTCCCACACGGCCAAATTCTGACACAGACTCTCCTGGTTTACTTTAACTTAAAAAAAAAAAAAAAAGGAAAATAAATCTCCTCTTATATGCCAGTTACTACTCTACATTAGTAACCTCCAAGAAGAAAAACTAATAACTGTGTTCAGATTCCAACTCTGCTAAACTTAAGTGATCCTAACAGGAATTTAAAATTAGGATATTAAAAAACTTGTCTGGAGGATCCAAACTTTTGTATCCATTTCTCTCCTCCTTTCTGGGGTAACAAAAGCATCACATAAAATCAGATCTCTACCTGCCTGACACCTCACATCTGAATGCCTATCTTCAAGCTTCACATCTCTATAAGAACCATGGAACCCCGTCTTCCCCGAAGCTATTCCCACCTCAGTCTTTCCTGTCTCAGAAATGCAACTGCACTCCAGCTGACCAAATTCCACCTTTGGACCATTCCTGACTCAATTCAAATTTAATCATTCACCAAATCCTATCAGTTCTAACTCTAAAATATGCAAACCACACCTTTCTTAAATCTTCTAGTTTAAGTCCCCTCCCCTGCCTCCCGACCAGTTTCCCTGCTCACCCAACTGTCCACATTCTCTCCACAAAGTAGACAGAAGGAATATATCAAAAACCCAGTGAGCATTCCTTRGCTAAAACCATTTGAATGGCTTCTTCTTTCACTCCAAATAGCATTCAAAATTCCCATTGAGCCCAAAGGCACTAACAAATAAGGCTCATCTGCTAACCTTCTACTAGCACAAGGTCACACCTGAGTTGCTGCACTCCCTTTTCACTCTGCCCAGAATGTGTTCCCCTAAATGGTTTTCATGTTTTCCTCCCCATGATTGTTCTTGTATGTATTTGTTAATTTTTTTAATATTTATTTTTCAGTTTTCAGTAGACAGAACATCTTATTTTATTTATATGTGATGCTGAGAATCAAACCCAGCGCCCGCACACGCCAGGAGAGCGTGTTACCACTTGAGCCACATCCCCAGCCCCTACATTTCTTATCATTTTAAAAGAAACTCTTTCCATGAGAACCCCTAGAAATGAACGGCCCCCCTCCCGCAGTCACTGTTCATCTATGTACCACACTTTGTGCCTCTCCATAGCAAGTACTACACCAAAAAGTATACATTCATTTGCTTACTGTCCATGTCTGCCCCAGAAATGCTCACTCTGCAACAGTAGGCACACTGTTCAGTCCATTCTCTCCACCTCCTGGAACAATGCCTGATAAAACATCCAAGCCTGTGATCATCCACCTGGCAGCCTGGCTATTCTGATGATGAAGGCAAATTACAGCAATAATTCTAAAACTAAGCATGCATCAGGATCATCTACAGGACTTGATAATGGGCAGATTAGCGTTAGGGGTGTAGCCCAGTGGTAGAGTGCTTACCTAGCATGCTTCAGGCCCTAAGTTCTATTCCTAGTGCCACCAAAAAAAAAAAAAAAAAAAAAAACCTACAAAGGTGGTGGGGGAACCAGATGCTGGGCCTCTGCCCCATAGTTTCTGACTTAATCTGGGACTGGGCAAAAGGAGGAAAGGAAGAGAGTGAAAAGATGCCCTCTGGACCCATGTCAGGTGCTCACTTAGAAAAATGTATATAAAAAAAAAGTCTTTTTAATAATACAGTATAAATATTCTTCCCTGAATGGGATTTATTAAATAATAGATGGAAACAGATCAAGGTTATAATCTATTAAAGTCTTATGGTRCATATATGTTAATGACTGCTACTCAAACTTTATCCCCCAGGGTTTAAAAAGCAGATGAGAAAGTTTATATCCTTTAGGGGACACTGAAATACCAAACAGTGCCGACCCCAGTTGGGATACTTTTTCCCATCTCTAGGAATAACCCTAACACTGAGGGCAGACCTACAGCAGTCATGCCTAGCTTACAATCTGCCTCTCCAGTCATGGCAGATTGGTTCAAAATTCATKCTTTTCAAGAATTGGAAATTTGAAGATAAAGCCTTGTAACAAAAAGCCCAGTGTCTRAAATTATGACACTACAGTTAAAAGCAGTAATGAAACCATAAACTATTGCCACTAAAGTTCTCAGTAATCTCATGGTTCCTGCCTTGCTTTGGCTCTCCAATTCTTCCTTTAATTTTTTGACTTTTCCAATAACTTCCAAAAAACTTTTTTTTTTGCCTCTGCAACCAAAAATATGCATAGAGTAAATGTGTAAGCTTTAAAGACAAGTGTAATAGAAATGCAAATTGTGAAATACTAAAGCTTTTCCCATAAATCCAACTTAAGGCATTTATTCCCATCTGCAGACTAGTGTTCTGTCTAAATAACTAATAAATCTTAGATCACATCACATTTTGACATTATGTCAATTTTTTTCTTCTACTTACTTCTTAGAGAAGTATTCCAAAACTTAGCAAAAGTAAGCATTTTTCCTGGGCTGTGGTTGTGGCTCAGAGGTAGAGCGTTTGCCTAGCATGCGTGAAGCACTGGGTTCCATCCTCAGCACCACAGAAAAATAAAGGTATTGTGGCCACTTATAACTAATATAAATAAACATTTTWAAAAAGTAACCATTTTTCCTTAGTTTATCCAAAAGGTATTGGATGCTTATTATCTGTCAATATTATGGGGTATATCATAATGAATGATAAGACCAAGTTCTTGTTTTATGTATTTTATATTCTGCTGGGGAGAGACMGTAAAATAAACAAGAAAAATGCCAGATAATAAGCACTGCTGCATAGAAAAAAAGAAACTTGTGAAAAAAGTGAGTAACTCACAGGGCTTCTAGGTAAAATGTTAGAGGGAAGGAAGCCTCACCATCAATGAAGTGACATTTAAACTTAGATCCTAAAGAGAAGCAGCAGCCAGACAGTAGAGATCAGGGTACAGCTAAAAAAAAAAAAAAAAGGTTTTGAGGCTAGGAAAAGACATAACTTGTTTTAAAAGGCCAAAAGAAGGACAATGTCACTACAATGTAGTGAAAAAGAGGGAAAATCATTAATGATGAGGTCAGAGAAATAGGCCTTGTAACAAAAGGCCCAGTGTCTGAATTTATGTATTTAGAAATTAACTGGTATTGGACAAAATTATTCACAACAAGATGCTTATAGAGAACAGTTGAGTAACGGACTAAGATGAGAGGACAATCAGATYACAAATAGTTTCCATAAAAATTTAAGAGCTGAAAGCAATCTTATATTCCCATACCCCATTTTACARAAAGGATATGTGGCCCAAACTGTGACTTTTCTGAGGTCAGATTAAAGACAAATGGGGTTTAACTCATTGCTWTTTAACATTCAAGCCAATGTTCTTCCCATAATTCTTTGCCTCATTTTGAAATCTCAAAAAGCTCTTTTCCAGGGGCATTTCTGAAAATGACATAGCAATAATCAAATGGAAACATATTTCAAAAGATAGAAATTATCCATACTTCCAGTCCCTCACATGAACTTTCTTAAATATTTACCACCAAATTTATGTTTCCACATTATATAAACAGAAAAAAAACTGAATAAAACAAAAGAATATACTTACATCTGGGTATTCTTTTACAGGCACATAAAGTTTCTCTTGTAACTGAACAATAGGTCCCACAGCATCAGGCAATTCTGCACTCCTTTTCTCTGTACTGCCATTTAATGTGTCATTGTACATGTCTTTCCGTACTCTGCTAATTTCTGTTAAAAGTAAAAATTTTAAATGTGTTAGACAAAAAAAGTATTCTTGCTAGTCCAGAAGAAAATAGGGGAGGGGGTTGCAGGGAAAGATTTCATGTATAGTGTTAAAACTCCAGTGAAGAATTACTGGCCTATTCTGTCTGTTTCTGGATTAAGCCCATGTTTAATAGATTGATAACCTTAATTAATTTCTACCACTAATCGAATTTATAACAACCAAATAAGACATCTTATTAAAAACTAACTTCAGAGCCCAAATTCTTAAGCAGTATCATATAGATTTGTTTTACCTAATTTTTCCATGTTTAACTGAGGCCAGTCATTCCAAATGACTGCTTCATCAGTAACTATGAAGAGAATGCCTTCCAGACAATACACACACCAGAGGCTGTTTGACACTTCAGAACTAAGCTCTCTGAATGAAGTTTAGACTGAACCGCTTTGTTAGATCCTTTAGATGTCTTCAGAATATTCAGAAATGCCCAATAGATAATAGGTGGCAAGTTTAGCAGAAGTCCGAGTTTGATACACAAATTTAGGAGCTAAAGCTATGAGAAGAGAGATTTTAAAAGAAGGTAAAGGGAGAAGGGAGGACTGAGGAAAACAATATCTAAACCAATAAGAAATGAAGGTAGATAGGAGAACTTAAAAAGAGAGGTGATATAAAAACTAAGGTGATCAAAAGTATTGAATACTACAGAAATATGGTGAAGTAAAAAGAAAAAGATGGTACCTGGGATTTGACCATTAAGCTATTGGTGATCAAAGAAGTTTCAAGAAAAAGATGGTAATGGAAATCAAACTACACAGAGTTATTGAATTAAATATAAGAAATTAGAGATATCCCAAATCAATAACCTTTAAAAAAAAAAGTATTACAATTCCTAGGTATAAATATATACTTAAAGAAAAAATGTAGAATCTACTTCACTAGGTCAAGTTTTTAAAGAAAATGGATTAATTCTTCCAAGAATTATCTACTAAGCTTCTATTCTGTGCTAGAGGATAGGTTCCCACTGGAACATACATGAATTGTCATTATTAGGCTATTAGCTGGATGCCTATGTAACTGTCTTCCATTCTACAGATTATGTCCTCCTTGAGGAAAAGGCTCACATCCAAATACTTTTTTAAACCTTTTATTTTTAAAATGTATTTTGTATATCACCCTAAAGTGAAATTCCAATCTACTGATATTAAGGAACTATCAAACTTGAATGCACTCTTTAATTTTCATAACTACTTATTTAAATCTCTTTCAGTTAAATAAAATCCAATATAGAAAAAAGGTGTGATCAAAGGTATTTTTACCTAGTTATAAAATATTACTTTTTAAAAATTATACACATTTTTGCTTCAGTAATAGCAATATTCATTTCATTAYAAATTTTTTCTCCTGAATAACAATTTGATTATCAAAGCTTACCAAAGGTTTAGCTTTGAATAGCAAATGAAATCAACAAAAATTTAAAAAGAGAGTACCTTGGATTTGACTATAAGGGCAAGACTTTATTCTTTCTTAAAGTTCTTGTATATGTCTAGTAATGAAGACTTTCTTAAGTATAAAATTAGTGTGTAGCTTAGCCAAATGGCATTAGAAACAGTTAATATAATTAAAATTACACATATATCCTTTCATCCAGGTACACCAAGACAAAAGAATTTATACCATAAATGCAAGAACAGTTCAAAATTTAACAATCTGTTATAAGTAATCTCAGTAATATAACAGAGTGAGGGGGAAAAAATCATAACCTTCCAGATAAAAAAATTTTTCAAACTTAGAAAAATTAAAAGAGCCAATTGTAAATGATAAAAAAAATATTCAGATGGTGATATTAAAATATGTATAAATACATAAAACCAATAACCATATATATATATATATATATATATATATGCATCCAGTTAAATAACAATGTATTTACCATTAGGTTGTACTTCTATAAATAATTGTGTGATTTTTTTTTTTTGATTAAGAACTAAAAGTTCCACAGGCTTCTGTTACCCACTGCTTCCCCTGAACCCAGACAGAGCCTGGAACACACGAGTCCTCAATAAGAGTAGATAGGTGGGTAAATGACATAGGATGGGCTAGTTCTAAGGCATAGTTCTGATTTCAGCTCTCAAAGAACTTATCCAATATGAAAGACAGATAGGCAGTATTTCTCCCATGATTTGTTTCAGTCTCTAACATGTACCACGGACCTTAATACCTAAATACAGATTATGTAGCAGACAGTTCTGATGGGAATGAAAAGATGACCAAGTCTTCAAGGAATGTGCAATCTAATTCATTATTAAATCAAACCAGCTGAGTACTATCTTTATCAAGAACCTTTCTAGCTTGGAAGTCATCAGCAATTTCTGGTGTACTATTTAAATACTCATATCAGAACAAACTGTTAGAACTACAGTAACTCTTTTAGATTTAAGACAAGTCTCTTATTTAACCTCTGTATTCCTGTGCTTCATATCATTAGAGGTCCATTACTGAACGACTCAATTGAACTCAGTGCTCCCCAACCTTAGCATGCAAGAGGCCCATTTACTATTTTCTCCTATAACCCCATGTTCAAAACTTTTCATCCACTAAGCCCCAGAAATTAGAGCTTTTTCTACTATTATCCTATCAAGTTGATAAAATTACAACCAAGCTATTGTAGAAGCATGCAATAGGTCTGGGGAATGCTTTAGTCCTTGTCTAACTAGTGGGTTAACAGGTACTCATTTCTCAAACACTGGAGTGCCTCAGAACTACTACTGTTATTGTTTTATCAATTATTAYACAGTAATACTCAAATGTTCCCCCCATCTCTGTATGATCTTAGGAACCATTAATACAAAAATTCCTACTGCAATAACCCTTAAATTGGGCATGTATCTTCTATCTAAATTCCTTAATTTGTTTTTACACTGCTCTGAAGTTCTTAAATGTCTGAAAATTCATTTGACTGAATCGAAATCCACACTCCAGAGGCTGTTTACCTCTTGTCCTTGAAGGGTCCACTTTCCATAGTGTTAGGAACTCCTTTACTCCCTTGGCAARCATGACACACTGAGACATTTTGCTGCTCATACGAAGGTAAGTCTCTCCTATTTCACATTTCCACAATTGTTCATTTGAACACCAGCAGACAATTCAAAACATTTTTTTTTTCTGGTTGTTTTCTACAATATACATTCCTTTGACTGATGTTAAACACCTAACTTTCTTTAGGGTTGAACAGTTTGAGTCAAAACTGCAATTTCAAAGAGCACATATTTTACTAACCTGGCTACCAAATACAGGCACCCCTTACTAACTACCTGATGAAATCTCCACCCACACTGGMTTCACCTCCCTGTAGATCCACACTTGAGATCAATTATCCATTTGAAATCTATAGGTTATGCCATCAAGTTTAGGAAATTGRTTTTTTGGCTTTTAAGAGTATTCAATATCTAAGCAATAAGGCTCCTCCCATTTTGTGTTTACTTGAATAGATAATTCATTGATCACATTTTCCCCCAAATTTCAGTGCTGCAGAAAGCTATTTTTGTGAGGGCCTGAAAACTTGTTCTGGTTGTACTACTTAATGTCTCCTCAAATTTCTCTGCTTTAACTGATTTTTTCTTTTTCTTTTCCAAACCAAAGCTCAACTCCTTTTGTTGTATTTGAAATCACTGGACAGGTAGTCAGTCCCACAGTCTCTTAAAAATTTTGTACTGTTCCTTTTAAAATTGGAATTACTGTATAAACTACCAGATCAATTATTCTGTGCTAAACTGGAATATCACAATCAAGGACAACATGAAGAAATGTCAAAGAACAGAAAAATATGAGTGGCAAAATCTAAATTTCAAAATCAAGCAATCATTTCACAAATAAATGGAAAATAGCTAAAGCTGTAGATAATAAAATACAACAACAAAATGCATAAAAAAGATAYTTAGGATTTGTAACAATCTAAATTAACATATACAGTATAGATTTTATAAGTTAAAATGATAGCTTTCATCATTTGAAAGCAAGAAAATGGGCTCTAGTGTTTCCTCACTATCTGCAATATATCTCTTGCCAGCCATTAAGTTAATAGGCTAACACAAAGAATAAATTAGATTTCAGTTATTTTAATTCTTAATTAACACAAGTACAAGTTTTTCTTTACAGTATGCTTACTAAAATTATAATATTTGGAGTCTATTCAACCCTAAAAAAAAAAAAAAAAAAAAAACCTGCTGCTTCATAAAGTGGTGGCTGTTACATACCCTTATGTATGTAGAATTAACAAAGAGCTATTAAAAGAAATATTTAATTCAGAGTTTACTAAACACAGGTAAAGTATCAAAAGTTATTCTAAAAGAAAAACCCATGAAACATCATTTCACTGTAGTCATTCTAAGTCACATTCATAAAAGTACAGAAAGCAAATAAATTCAAAAGCAAGTCACTACACAGTGCACCACTATTTAATGTAACACATCTTGCTTACTCTAACAACCAAATAATTCAATCTGAATTTTTTGAAGCAACTACTTTCAAACTGGTAAGAAAACAAAATAAAGTCATTAGTAATTCTCTAGATGGGGCCTCTTTGGGGGCTAAATTGTACTTCTGAACTTCAGAATTACACTACACAAACTACAAAACAAAGGTTACATCATAACCCCCTTTATACTGCCAAAATTAACAACGGTGCAAACTGAAAACAAATTTCACACACAMAAAAATGAAAGAGCAGACCTTATAACAATGTTTATTAATTTGCTTAACTGTCACTCTCAGGAGCAGCTCCACACAATGGAAGGTACTGAACAGTAAGCCATACCTTCCTGGAAAGGCTCTTTCATAGGTATACATAACCCAATTTATATACTTAAGTACATGTAGAGCGAAGACATCACTGCCATGAGTCGTCATCTCTGGCACTATTTAGCTTTCACATTTGACATGGATTTATTTTAAAACAATCAATTACCAGAAAATTATAAAGATATTCCCATGAGAAAGGGACAGT